AAATCTACTATCACTACTATTTGAGATAATGCTTCAATATCCTCTACCAAAAAATACCTCCCTCCCTTGCTAGAATACTTCATTATACATTTCAGAAGCACAATCCAGTAACTAAGAGAAATTGTTCTGAATTTTAGACTTCTCAAAGCCATTAACCACAACAGAGAAACAATTAAAAAATAATTTGATCATCAAGTTGTAACAGAAGTATGCGTTCAAAACATCTCACCAGTTCACATAATCTAAAAGGCAATGAATAAATAAAGATGCTGCTTCAAAGTCTGATGGTTATGTTGAGAACATTAGCCAGAAAACAAAAGCTAAACTCAAAAAACCTCCACCAATAATGTATTTTATGCCAAGAATTTACAGGAAATGGTTCAAAAGGATTTTCATCTTTACCTTTGTTATATGGAAGACCATCCTGCACTTTTAAACACTGTATGTGGTTTAGCTGTTAATTTCCACATTGACTGGATACAAGCTAATTATGGATTGTGTAAAGAATTACTTCTTCTTTTAAAAGTCTCTTTTATTTTCACTGAATCTTTTCTTATCTATGTGAGACAAAAAGAGAAGTTATCCAGTTTTTGCCCCACCAGTTTTATTATATAAGTTTTATTATAAGGTATTTATAGATTCCAACTATCATTCATATTTAATGGAGGGATATTCCGTTTTTCCAAGTCAGGCAACATCATCTGCTTGTCCTTCATTTACACAATGAAACTCAAATTGGATCTTAGCTCCATTTTATCCTGTTGGATGAACAACTGCAGCAGTGTGTTGTGAAGTGAGCTTTGCTGGGATCTTTGTCACCTTGATCCAAAGTTCTCATACACAAATGGCCAGTCACTGGCTGAAAGGACTCCCCTCTGCAAGTACCTTTCCTGAAGGCATCTTCTGCTAGGTCAGGTGGAACTACCTGATCTGTGCCGGCAACTTTTATCTGTACCAGAGATACTTCGCACATGACTGGCTATCTGACCTTTCAAAGTTTGGGTGCATTTGCCCACATCACTAATTGGTTATGTTATAAACTACATGATGAGTTAATCACAACAATATACAGATTAGGGTCTTCTACCTACAAAGAAATTACAAGGTCACCTAAGTTACTGAGATTCATTCATGCATGCAACACTGTCTGTTTTTTCTGATCTTCCTTAAGAATGGAACACAAAAGTTATGAAAATCCATTTAAGGTAGAATAAAATTGCAGCTGCTATTTGGCCATCCTCCAAAAATAAGGAACTCCCCACCCTAACAAACTAAATGGTAGAGTACTTACTTTAATTGGAATTTCTAAAACTAGAGAGGGGGAAGGCAAAAGGGCTAATTTTGCTTAACCAATATCATTGTCTTTTACAATGAAATGAGTGGCTCTGTGGATGAGGGAAAAGCAGAGGGTATCATTTACCTTGATTTCAGCTAGGGTATCCACACGGGTTCTCATGGCATCCCTCTAGCCAAATCCAAATCTAATTGGGTGGGAAGAATACAAGGTAGGTATGTATGGCATATAGCTGGTTGGACTGTCAGAGTCAAAAGGGCTGCAGTCAGTAGTTTGAAACCTTACTGGCAGCTAGTTATGGGTGGTGTTCCTCAAGGAGCAATATTAGGGTTCATGCTGCTTAACATGGTCAGTGATCTGGATGATGAGTTGGATTGCACCCTCAGCATGTGCATGATGTGAAACTGGGGGAGCGGCTGATGTGCTGCAGCACAGGGCTGCTGTATGACAAGACCTTGAATAAGCTGTAAAATGGGCTGACAGGACAAAGTCTTGCACCCAGGACAAAGACACCCCATGCAATGGTACAGTCTGGGGACTGACTAGTGAGATGATAGCAGCTTTTCAAAAAGGGACGTGTGGGTCCCAATGAAATGAGAGTCAGCTTTGCACCTTTGAGATAATGAAGGCTGACCACATGCCATACTACATTAAAAAGCGTACACCCAGCAAGTGAAGGGAAACCTTTATTCTCCTCTGCTTGGCACTTGTGAGGTCACATCTGGAATACTGTGTCCAGTTTGGGCTCCCAAGTATGCCGGAGATACTGAGAAGCTGGAGAGTATCCAGAAGGTAACCAAGATGGTTCCAGGGGCTAGAGCATATGACATAAGAAGAGGCTGAAGGAATTCAGTTTTTTGATCTTGAAGAAGAGAATATTGGAAGAGGATATAATCCCTATGCTTCACTGAGTGGGGGATTATTAAGAAGGTGGAACTAGGCTTTTTTTCAGAGGTGAACAGGAAAAGGACAAATGAGAATGGCCATAAGCTGCAAAAAGAGAAACTTTGATTGGATAGAAGGAGAAAAATTTCACATCGAGAGTGGCTAAACAGAGAGAAAGAAGTCCAAAGAAGTTATGGAATCTCCACTCTTGGAGATTTTCAAGACTTGATAGGGCAAGGCTATGAGCAACCTGATTTGACTTTGAGGATATCTCTGCTCTGAGCAGGAAGATGGGCGAGATGGCCTCCAGCCTAAATTGCTCTATAATTTTATATGGGGTTTGACCTATATTTAAAATTGTGCATGTGATATGTAAGAAATAATGATTTTTCTGAATCCAAAGAAGAATTAATATAGTTATAGAACTGGCAGAAGTAGCGCTAATTAGCTTTTGCTTTGTCTATAGTCTTTGATCCTTGTACTTGGGAGATGACATTTATATGCTGTTATCAAAGTAACTCAATATTTAACAGATGACTAATATAGCAAAATATTCTACAGTGAGCTGGACCTCAGCAAAGGACTATGGCATGCTAAAAAAAGCCTCACTAGGGTGCTGGATTGAGAAATGTCATTGCTGCTGATTTGGGCAAGCACTCTTGCTCTCCAACACTTGATTCCATGCCGTGGTTCACCTACACTGGATTCTTTTTCTCACTGTTTAAATCTTTAAGCACTGTCTCCATAAATGAGATGGGTCTTGAGAAATTTTATTAGGTTTTGTCAGGAAAATTCAAGGAAGAGGTGGAGGAACTGAGGAACTACTACTGGATAGCCCACTTTTGAAGACACCATGTCTGGCCAAGACTTTTCTGAGGCAGGAGTGGACTTTTGGATTAATATTTTTGGAAACATATGAAACAGATCTCCTTTATGAGACTAAGACAAATGGTGGCTGGGACTGTAAGAAATCAGTGAAGATTAGCAGACTTCTGTTACTCCAGTTCTTTCTGCTGGGAGTTTACCAAGAAATTAACAATGGCAATATTTACTTCTATTTTGTGCTAGCTGGTGGCATTCAGACACTCATAAAAGTTATAGCTTCTTCAGTCACTTGAAATAGAACCAGAAGTTTCTGAATTCACATTGCTGAGCTTATGACCTGCAGGTTGCTTTTCTCTTTCTCATTTTTTGATCACTCAGTAAAATTATATTGGTAACGAGGTTACCGATGTTCATAGTAAATGAGCAAGATGCAAAGTTAAGCCGCTGTTACTCTACTATTTCGACATTTGTAGCACAGTGGCATCAGTGAGGATGGACAATGATCTTACTTTGAACCTGATACCTATGTCTCCTAGGAGGTAGGGAATGTTAATTCTCCAAGTTTGTTACTTCTTGGGCAAGTTCAGCAGTCAGCAGGCTGTTGTGCAGAAAAAGAGTTGACAGCTGTGTTCCTTGCACTTTGCTAAGCACGAGCTTGCAGATTTACCCAAATGCGCTATACATAGGCTGAACACAGCAACACGGCTGGGTGGAGTTTAAGCCTCTCCCAGTCTGTGTCTAAAGCACAGCAGAGCTCAGGATGTAGCTAAGCTCATCAAGATGAGAGCACCTCTGGCTGTACACAGAGACCTGCGTTTGGTAGCCTAACACAAAGGTTACAACTGACTTTGATGTACTTCAGAGTTAAGATGCTACTTGGCACTAGGCTGCTTGAACTGTTCTCTGAAACTGAGGGTGCCTCCAGTTTTTTTTTTACCAAAACTCAAATGGACTTCATGGAGTTTGAATTAGGCCTCCTGCTGCTTCTGAAAAAGAAGACCTATTGGTGAAATCAATGTCTGCATTTTAAAAGAATTTATTGCTTACAAGTTGATGGTCACAGATGGTAAGTTCTCTCCATGTCTGATTTGAGAAACAGTGCCAGAGTACTCTTTACATGGACAGTAGATTTGACTTTGAACTTTGTCTGAAACGATGAATCCCATCTCCATTAAGAAGTGATGCTATTACAAACCAACACTTGACAGATTGTTTCCGTGTTCGTACCATCACTCAGCATTTTTTCTGTAATGATGCGCTTATTCCTTACATTTCCTTACAGAAGGTTTTCCTTAAGTGGAAAAAGATTTAATCACGTCCTCTCGCCTGGCAAATACTGAGCACTACTTTTTCACCAACTCAAGCTGCCAGAAGTGCACTGAGAGAGCCTGGGACAGAGCAGACACCCAGTGGAAACGTATCTGGAGCCCCCAGCTGCCTGGCCGCGCGCTGCAGCGCGCCCGCGTCCGCTTGCCGGTATCCGGAACGCCCATCACGTAATTATCTCTCTCAGAAAAGGGGTTTTCCCTTCAGATCTATCCTTTTCCACGGTGAATTTAGTGCAACAACTGGTGTTTCGGTGTTTTTCTGTGTTGTTTTTTTTTTTTGAAAAAAAAAAAAAAACTTTAACAAAGCAGACAAGGCTGAGCTGGAGTGAAAATGCCACCTCAGGCGACGGTGCCTGCTCCCACTGGTGCCCGCCCCAGCACCGGTACCCTCACGGCAGCTCCTCCCACCACGGCGGCGAGCAGGGTTTAGCCGCCAGCCTTTCTCCCCCGCGGGGCCGAGGGCGGCGCCGGTTCCCGCCGCCCGCCGAGTAACCCCCGCAGCGAGGCGCTCGGCCCTGGGCCGCCCCTGCGGCTCCCCCCGTCCCGCCGCAGCCAGCGCCTCCGCCCCGCCCGGGGCCGCCACCGCCGCCCGGCACCTGTGCGGCACGGGCCGGCGGGGGGGGGGGAGAGAGGGGGGGGAGAGCGGCGAGCCCGGCGCCTGCGCAGTGGCGCGGCCCCTCGCCGCCAGGGCCGCAGTCACTTCCTGCCCCTGTGCCCATCCGGCTCCGGGGTCAGCGGCCGCCGCTCTGGCGGGACAGGGGAGAATAAAGTTTTATTCGGGGAAGGGGAAGCCGGCCGCCCTCGCCCAGGTAGGGGCTCGGCCCCGGCCGCCCGTCCCGTGGCGGCGGCGGCGGCGTTCGGCGCCCGCTGTCACCTGCCGCCCGCTCGCCCCTCCCCGCCCGGGCTCGCGCGTGGCGGGCGCGCCCGGCGGGGGGGCGGCCGGCCCGGGGGCGGGCAGGGCTGCGGCCGCTGGCTGCCGGGGACGCCGCTTTCCCCCCCCCCCTCCCCCCCCCGCCGCTTACCCACCGCTCATCCCCGCCCCGCTCCGCTCCCGCGGGAGCTGAGGGGAAGAAGCCGCCCCGGCGGCGGGGCTGCAGGAGGAGGGCGGGGAGGTGGGCACGGAGCGCGGCGCGGCGGGAGCCGCCCGCTGAGGGGGCTCAGGGGCGCTGAGGGGGCGGCTGGGCTGGGCGGGGAGGCCGGCGGCGGCCCGGGGCTCTCTCCTCCGCCGGCCGAGGCGCAGGTGGCGGCGGGCCCCGGGCGGGAGCGGAGCGGGGCGGCCGAGCTCGCCGCCGCGGCCGTTGCAGAGGGCGTTGTGAGACCTGCTGTAAACAATGGGAACTTTCTCCTGCGCGAAGGGTGCCGCTGCCTCCTGGCCTGCTCCCGCGGTGCTGTCGTAGGAATTGAGTGTGCGCCGTCCCGAGCCGCCTGTGCCTCGGGGGTGACAGTTAATTTGCTTATTTTAGCAGAAACGAGCTGCTGGATGTAGAAGGAAAGCAGGTCGTGCACGCGGAAAATGCCTCTAAGGGACAAGTGTTGTCAGACTGACCACCATCACCATGGATGCTGTGAACCAGGTACAGTGGTGTGTGATGCTTTGGCTGTTTCACTTCTCTCCTTCGTTGAAAGCTCGTGGAAACTGTTGTGATGTTGCTAATGTGCATCATTAGTGACGTTTTCGGACATAAAAAAGTTTATGAATTTTGTTTGGAAATGTTTTTTGATAACTTTGAACTGTCATGTTAAAATTATTTCAGGAAGATAATTTCTTAGTTCCTGCAGTCATTCTTGAACCACCACATGGGCATTGTAGGAATGAGTAGAGGAAGACAATAAGTTGTGTGAAACAGCTGGCCTTTTTGTTTCCAAAAAGTGTAATGTTCTGATTTTTTTGTAAAATGATGTTTCTGGCAATCTCTTTCATTTGCTCTTTATGTTTTCACTTCACACCTTCTCGGGTGACCTCTGATGAACTTGAACATCTTGTTCTCAGAGGAGAAAATGTCCCCAAGTCCTGAAGTGACGGTTTGCATTCCACTGCTATGTGACATGGAAGGTGCCATCAGTGGAAAGTATAATGGATACTTCGAAGCCTCAGCCAACTTGCTAGATTTTTTTTTGTAGTTGTTCTGCTTGCTGTTGTAATTGGTAGCCTAAAAGGAAATTTGGCTCCTTTCTTGTTGCCTTGTTGTAGAGTTTGTTATTTGGATGCTTTCACTTGTGTTTTGAGAAGAAAGTCTTCAGTTTTGGGAATTAATAGTTGGAAGCATGAGCATGGCATCTCTGATTAATGCTCTTTTAATTAAATGTAATTTGAGAGTTCAGCTAGTAGAAACATTTCTTTGTGTTTAAGATGAAATGGTTTTGAACTGTTCTAATGCTTTAGAAAAGCTAAAATACTTTTCTTGCCTTACAAATAACAGTGATGTGTTATGTCTGCTTCACGTATGTCACTCCTCTTGATGTCAGTGGGTGTTGCACATGCCTATTAGAGGCAGTATACAAACGAAAATATACTATTTTGAGGAATAGGGCATAGGCTAGTTGAATACAATATGTCATTGTGTTAGAGATCCCCGAACGATTAGCTGATTTGTAATGGTTGTTATGTGTTCGTATATATAATAGTATATTATGGGGCCAGCATAGTTGAGTGGAGTGTTCATTCTATCATTCTTTTCTTAGACTGCTTTTCTTTCTGATGTTCTTTTCAGTTTGAATTTATTTATAACCTTACGTCATAACCTAACATCTTTCCTGTCAAAATGTGATTAATGTATTTGCGCTTAATATCGCTTAATAGTTTTATACTCTGCCTCTACTGCTCTTTGTCAAAAATAAATTCATTAGAGATGCTCAATGCTTCATTTAAAAATGTGAACCTTACAACGGGGTTAAAAATCAAACCAAATGGATAAGGTAGGAGCGAATTTATGAAGTACAAAGTTGGTTATTTTGTCAATAAGAAATTTAAAAAAAAAGACCTAATTAATGATTTTGCAAACACACACTTAAATAAGTGCTCTTATTCATTTAAATTTCGTTTTCACACTGGACAAAGCTTCATTGCTGTATACAGCAATGGAATGCTGTTAATTTTCATATGCATAAATACTGCATATTGGAATAACTCATAATCATCCTGATCAATAAATGTTTAAGTTTCAATAGAGTTTACAAAGACTGTGATGCGGAATGAACTTTCAGAAATAAGGTATTACTTTGGCAGTTTTTTTGAACCAGAAGCATTTCCTGAATGTGGTTTTATTGGTTAAAAATAATAACTCTGGTGCATATCTCATAGTTATGCTTGTGTTTTTTTCTGATTATTGCTGCTTTAAATTTGGATTCAGTGTTTAGGAGTGTACTGGCAACACTGAAATCACATAGTATGCTGTGAAGTACAGTATTTGGTAATGCTTTTTTGTACATCTGTTTGAATGATGGGAGTCAAGTGGATTGTTCTGGGAATTGGTTTAATTGATGGAAATTTATAGTGAGTTAATTTGGTTTATATATTTAAATGCTTTTGGTTTAGATACACGTAGCTTTGAATACACATTTTCTTTAATCAAAATGACATCAAACTGTCAGAAGGTATCGTGGCTGGTAAATTCAGTATTGACTGTTTTTTTTAATTCAACGTAGATTGAATTTTTGAGTAAGGTTCCTTTTACTGTAGTCATGGCCTTTCTTTTTAGCTAGTTTACTGTATGAATAGAAAATCCATAACTTAAAGTCACATGAGCGTTCTCTAATGGCCTGTTATCCTTTTATATACTTCAGTGCATCTGTTGGAACCTGGTGATCCTCCATTATTACAGCAGCCTCTGCAAACATCAAAATCCGGTATTCAACAAATCATTGAGTGTTTTCGATCAGGTATGAAGCTATGCCTGACTCTTCAGAAGTTCATTACCTTGTTATACGAGTTATGTAGATTTACTATATTAAATTAGTTATGTGTATTTGGTATATTAAAATAACCAACATCTGACTTTCTGTATATTCGGAAACTATTTGTAGGTTTTTTTGAATTAGGCGCTGTTCCTTTTAATAAGGGTTTTCATACAAAGTAGTGAAAATACAGCTCTTGCTGTACAGTTATCTTTCAAAAACATAAAAAATTAGTTTGTTGTTCTGCTTTGTGTCATCTGTCCTGCTGTTATTAATGAGTTTATCCTAAAACTCCTGAGATGAAGAGAAAATTTAGTGTTTACCTTGAACTTTTTAGAATTGCTTTATCATGTTACTTTTAAGGTGTTTCTTGATTGTTTTGGGGAGTTGCAATGCATAGCAATGAACCTAAGAATAACAACTGAGTGTTTGGGTGAACATGCCAGAAATGGTTGAAACCTTTGTTTTCTAGCTGTGTCTGTGCTTCTGATATGGCAAACCAAATGTTTTATTTTCATAGCCCTTGGTGCAAAACCAGCAGTTATTACAAAAATTAAAGCGATCCCTTCAGTCCTACTATCTATATGTTTCTAGATTTTTCCACATAGACCTATTATATATATTAAACGTTTCATGTGTAAATCATATCTTCTGTGTAATGGGATGCATGTCTGGGCTGAGCCTTGTAAAAGGGCACAGTATTTAAGTTCTCCACTAGTATTTCAGTGGTTCAGTACAAGAAGAAAAATGGGATGTGAGAATCGTCATTAGTACACTTCTTTAGTTTGGTTGAGATTGCCTGAGGCCTCAGACATGCATGACGGGCTTCTTTCGCTTGAAGCAGATTAATGGAATCTCTACTGGTAATGGCATGAACTAGTTGCAAGTGTTCTGTCTCTGGTCTACTTCCACATTGTCCTCACTGACCGGTCTTAAACTGATAGCTTACTTTGACATCGTCAGTCATCTGCACCAGGGCAGTTGGACAGAATACAAAAGGACTTATACTAAGATTTTACTTGTTAGTTTTGAACAAACGAGTTATGTATTTTTCTTAATAGTTCTTTCGTTATGGAAAGAAACTATTTTGATTATTGTGGTAAAGAAATAGAGATTAAGGTCAGAGTATTGTCCATAACTATTTAAGTGGTTTTAGCAGAAGCTTCTGTCATCCAAAGCACTAAGAATAACAGATGAATTTGAATCTAATTTTTTTTTCTAAAAATAAAGTTGCTTGCTAAAGGCATAAACTGTTATTTCTGCCAGACGTGTTTGTAATAACCAATGTTCTGTACTAATTTCTTGAAATTATGATACTATTCCAGTGTCAACATTTACAAATATTAGCAGAATTGGACAAATTATCACCTGTCCTGATTAGATTTAACTACAAAATACAGAAGACTTCAGTAAGCTGGAGGCAGCATATGTTGGCAGAAGACTGACTGCTTGTTGCCACAGTCTTCAGTTGGTGAAGGAGATGATTATTTTTTTCGCTGCTTGCTGTGTCCACGAAAGCAGTGGATGTTTTAAATTTATTTGCAGTTTCCAGAAGTCCCTAAGGGTCTACAGTTTAATTCAAAAGGACCAATTACTTTTTTACTCCCAGCAGTGAAAAGCTTCATAGTTGCCTAAGGATGGTTTCAAGCCAGAGTGACTGCTGTGTCATCTAGTCTGAACTCCAGTATGTCATAAATCCTTTAATCTCACCCAGTAATTCTTAAACCCAATAATTTGGATTAGACAAAAACATTTCAATCCTGAATGGAAAGAGACTGAAATATCAGTAAAATAGGAGTTAGAACGAGGGACTTGTGTGTCTCTTAATTGGGCAATAGTGGAGAATTAGACATTTGCTGGTTTGGGAGAAGGGTTTGCGGCTAGGGCATGCATCAACAGCATGACCAAATTTTAGTTTATCGTGTGCTATCACCAAATTGGAGGCCTTTTGTTTGAATTATAGTTTGGTAACTTACTGGAATTCTGTCTACATGGAGCATCTTCAGTTTTGTTCAGCTGGGTTTTTGCCAGGGATTTTCTTTATATGAAGAAATTCAAATGCTGGTTGGTGAGCTCTGACTAAATAACTTGCACGGAGTTACCCCCAAAGCAATTTTGCAATTTGGTTGTCCAGTAGTCTGTTTTTAAAATACAGGTCAGATGGCGGCAAGGTTAGTAACACTTGACAAAAGATCAGTGAGAGGAAAAGACGAGAGGCTAGGGCTGTGGCCCTGGAAAGGCATAAGAGGAGATAGATACTGGATGGTAGTCTCAGTCAAGTTTGGGTCCCATTTTTAAACATTTGTTGAAGGAGACCCTGTGCTTTACTAAAACTCAGTTGTATAAACTTTTGTGGTACCACTATTACACCAAGAAATAAAAAGTTGTCTTGGTAAGGCCCATTTGTATTGAAGAACTATTAGTTGTTATGAAATTATTAATATTTGAAAGAGTTTTCTTTAGGAAATAGTTCTGCAGTGTGGCTAAACTTGATCTTTAAAAAGAATTCTTAAGAGAAGTATCTGTGATGACAGAAAACTTGAACTTCTCTTTCAGCTTGAAGAATGTCTTGATGCTGTTTCATAGTTGTCTGGTATTATTTATTCTTGGTCCAGTTTCATTATATTTCTGTTTGTTGGACTAATTTTGATTAATTCCTTTATAAGAAAAAAAAGCGAGATGGAGAAGTTATCTGAATTTGGTTAGCTAGTGTTTCTTTCTAATTTGGAGTGGGTAAGTATTCATCATTTAGTGGTCCATCGCTAATTGTAGGTATTATGTTCTTAATTTTTGTGAGATATGAAGTGAAGGAGTGGGTTTGAAATGTAAGTTAAACTCTGAATCCTTTAGTTCTTTAAGCAAGGCAGGAGCTGGAATACATCAACAATGCTGAATCAAACTATCTTTGTGGGGGTTTTTTTGAATGTACATTGTATAATAGTCTGGAAAACCTGCATATTTTGTCATGCTGCCTGTGTTTTAATAGAAAAGTTTCTGACTTAAATTATATGTATTTTCCTTTCAGCAGGCTGAAAATATGTCTGCAGTTCAACTTTCTTGCCTAAGCATCATCATCTTGATCTTGGGTCAGATACCAAGATGTAGTAACATTTCTTGACCTGTTATTCTCTTTGGTTTATTGTATGTTCTTACCAGGTGCTGCTTTTACATGAAATAGCTGTATATATTCTGATTTCTTAGCACTTGGGTAAGGTTAAAGAAAAAATATTGCAGGCTTCTTTAAATGCTCTAGGTGCTTACTCTTTCCTGTTGCGCAATTGTATTGCAGTAACCAGATACTGCAGTATGAACTTCCTAATTTTAACTGTTAGTTTTTGTCATGAATCATCATACTTTCCGTGTAAACTGTAATGTTTATAATACTTGACTTTTTTGGGGGTGGTTTTTGTTGGTTTTTTTTTTTTTGTTTTTTTTCCAAACTAGTTTTGTTTTCGTAGTGAAACTTGAAGTATGTATCATAAGTATCATAAGCTTACAATGCAATGAAGTAGCATTAACACAAGATAAAATACTGTTATAACTGTCATGTTTTAAAATGTTTCCACTTTCATAGGAAGATGTGAATTAAAAGATGAACAGAAAAACTTCCATAAGTGTAATGTTTCTTTTATTACAGGAACAAAACAACTTAAACATATCTTGTTAAAAGATGTGGACACCATTTTTGAATGTAAATTGTGCCGGAGTCTCTTCAGAGGATTACCAAATTTAATTACTCATAAAAAGTTTTATTGTCCTCCAAGCCTCCAGATGGATGATAGTAAGTCTTACTAATTGAAATATTTAATAAAGCTATCTGAGGTTGAGAAACTTACCTTTTTGTACTATTTATACAAACACACCAGAAACAAAATGCAAAAAAAGAAGTGGAATTATATTTCAATAGTAACATATGTAGATCACTTGTGGTAGTAAAGAAGCTACAGTACTGATTTAATATGCATTAACAACTGAGACCTGTGTCAATGTCATAATTTGATAGCTAGTTTATAAGTCCAACCTTTTAATGAAAAGTGTCACTGTTAACACTTTTTATTCCTTCTTCCCCTTTTCCTTTCCTGTCTTTCCCTCTTTACTGTGAAAGATACCAAAAAGTATGCCGAAGGACTGGGGAATGAATCTCATAGATCCACACTTTTCTAACAAGGCTTTTCAATTTTAGATCAGCATAGATCTGATGGACTTCAGCTGGATCCTGTAAAGTGGTTTGGATCAATATCCATAATTTTCTCCTGTACTTGGGAAGTGTTCAGTGTCACAGATGCAATCCTTCAGTCTTAATATGAAACACAGACTAAAAGTTCACCCTTTTCTTTAAGGACCTGTGCTTCAGTAATACTATCTCTTTCCCACTGCCTTGCCTCACCTTATACTGCTTTAAGATATACTGTGTGATCATGCCTAGCCCACCAACTTTGTTGTAGAAATTGAACTTTATTATTAAAAGAAAGTAACTTAAATGATGAGGGAAAAATAAAGAAGTATATTTTTATGGAAAAATAAATTTATTGAAGTCTCATTCCAGTGATGACTTTTTTGTTGATCTGAGTAAAGCTGAATAATTTGAAAATGTGCCAGCATTCAAAAATGTTTTTAGAGCTTTCTAATTATCTTGATCTCTTGACTAGATTGGCATAGGTATAATGAGGATTTTTCTTTCCTGATTGATGCCTTCCTGCCTCAGTATTTCAAAAATTAGGAATGAACAGAGATTTATGTAGGTGATTCTTTTCCCACATTGTGTCAGCTAGTGTTGCAAAGGAGAAGGTGAAAAGACTAGTGTTGGCACCTTCCTCAAATGAGTGTGCTTAGCCAGTTGCAGAAAGTCCCAGAGCTTTTCTGTGAAAAGGGAGGAGTTGTGTTTTCAAAGCAAGGTTAGGAGTGCATCTGACTTAGATGTGAAAGTTTCTAAGCAAAATAAGATTACCCTAAGTAAAAACTTCCTGTCCAGCTCCTGACATTCTAGCCTTCATTTAATTGGCTGGTTAGAAGGGGTACAAATGAGGGAATAATACTAGATGCTCTGAATAAAACTATATAAATACTTATGCTGTATATAAAATTGAGCATGATTATTAATGAATAATGTGGGAGGTTTTTTTCAATAAGTAAAATTAAAAGATAGTGAACAAGAGGTAGGAATGGAAGTTCAGCATCCCCATGGTGAAAAACTCCAAAGACTATTCACTGATGAATTTTTGAGATGTGTTCTGTTAGTGTAGTCATTAAGCAGTCTGAAAAGGTGCTATTAAATAGTAAGGACTTTTTACCCTTGATAAAAATTACATAGATAGTCCCATTTGAAACTGACTGCAAAAGGTGTTTAAAAATCAGTGTTAAAAGATTGGTTCTGAACATCAAAACAGCATTACTTCTTGTACTGATATTCTTTTCATGTATTGCCGGCAGTGGATGGAACAACCCTGACTTAAGTGTGGGTTTTTAATTAGTTGTTATCAGGAATCACATATTTAAGTCACTGGATAATTTTGAACTGTATCACCTCCATGCCTCATGTTTTTGCTGTACCACCCTGGCTTCTTAGTTATGCCAGTGCAGATTCTTAGTGTGTCATGCTGGGAAGTAGACTACTGAGCTAATTTGGCATTTAAAAACAAGATATTACTAAGATGTGTAAAATCAAGAATGACATAGAGGTAGATGGGAGCAATCATTTTTTTATTTTTTTCATAATACATAAACTGGAGTATTCAGCAAAATTACCAGAGAGTAAAATTACCAGTATTTCTGGTAAAACAAAACAAAACAAAAAAACCACTGCTTAACATTATGGTAGCCAAGAATATAAATGCTTCAAAAGTATTTCAATATCTGTTTTGGAAACTAGGTGTATTAAAACAGTGCTTTAAAGACAAACTTTAGTTTGAGAAGTCCACTGGCAGCAGACAAACAGGGAGAATCCTTATATCCTCCTTTCATGCTTTTAAGTCTGTTCCAACCCAGTGTCAGGACAGAACACTGGATGAGCCTTTGGTGAGCCTCAGCAAAGTTATTATTTCTTAAAACTCTGGCTGAGTTTTTATTGTTTTGAGAAATTAATACTTTTTTTTTTTTTTTCCCCCTGATGATACAGGATATTTCTGTCCTTAACATTTACTATCTTACTGTATCACTGAGCCTACTAACTGCTTTGATATTACTAAAAGCTTTCCTTGCCCCAGAAGTTCCCTCTTATCTACTTATATCTTCATCCAGTGCTCAGGTTACACAGACATTTAATTCTTTTTTTTTAAGGACTGTTCAGAATTCACGGAGAAGAGCTTATTTCCAGTATTAGGTTCTTTTATTGAGAATGCCCATTTCCAGCAGTAGGAAAATCAGTTTCTTATGATACTTCAGGCTTAGTTGCACACATGCAGAACAAGCTCTGTTGTATGACATTATTTTTGCAGTTGATGGTTTAGATGGCTTTTGCATTAGCATGCATTTGCATTAGTACTGTCAATATTGGCTTTTAATAGGAAAGTAACTTGTACTGATGTGATAACAATGATTGCTCAAAGCCTCTAAGTTAAATGGTCAGAAAAATAGTACAAATACAGAATTTGTGCAAATTTGGTGACCAAATTGACACAGTAGTTAAAAGATGCTTTGAAATTGAAAGAATTTGAAATTACCAAATCATTAAAAAATACCTTTGCCTCTTTTCACAGACCTCCCAGATATAAATGATAAACAGAGTCAAGCCATAAATGACCTTCTGGAAGCAATCTATCCAAGGGTAGATAAGCAAGAATATGTAATTAAATTGGAACCAATAGAAACTAATCAGAATGCTGTATTTCAATATGTATCAAGGACTGATAGCCCAGATGAGAACACAGAAAGTAGTAGTAACCCTGATCAAGCTCCAGTACAGATACAGGAACCAAGCACTGAGCAACCCAAGACTGTTTCAGCTCCAGCCCCAGTCCCAGCTGGGGAGACTGTAGAATTACCTCCTGCTGATCCCATTACAAACAAGGTGATACCTACTCCTGAAGAGCAGCCTCCAGCAGTAAATCCTGAATTGGACTCTCTGGATAATTCTGATTTTGGCCACCAGTTGATATGTTGCCTCTGTAGGAAAGAATTTCACTCCAGACGCAGTGTACGCCGGCACATTCGAAAAGTGCACAAAAAAAAGATGGAAGAGTTAAAGAAGTACATAGAAACAAAAAAGAAACCAAATCAGTGCTCTGCAAAAGGACGAAATAAGAATGTTCTTGTAACGTTAGGTAGAAGTTGTCCTGTATGTTATAAATCATTTGCTACAAAAGCCAACGTAAGAAGGCATTTTGATGAAGTTCATAGAGGATTAAGAAGGGATTCCATTACTCCTGATATAGCGACAAAGCCTGGGCAACCTTTGTTCTTGGATACAGTTTCTGCTAAAAAATCTTTTAAGACCCGAAAACAAAAGTCGTCTTCAAAGGCTGAATACAATTTAACTGCATGCAAATGCCTTCTGTGCAAGAGAAAATATAGTTCACAAATAATGCTGAAAAGGCACATGCAAATTGTTCACAAGATAACTCTTTCTGGAAAGAACTCTAAAAGAGAGAAAGGACCCAACAATACTGCCAATGGCACAGAAATAAAAGTAAAAGTTGAACCAGCAGATTCTGTAGAACCTTCACCCCCTTCCATTGCCCTTTCTCCACAGAATGAATTAAAGGGAACAAATCATTCAAATGAGAAAAAGAGCACACCGTCAGCACAGAAAAATAAAGTTAAACAGGACCCTGAAAACCCTAAATCAACCAGTAAATCAACCTGTAAATCAACCTCTAAATCAACCTCTAAATCAACCAATGCATCTGCTGCAGGTGGCCAGCAAAAAACCAGGAAGCCAAAACTTTCAGCTGGCTTTGACTTCAAGCAGCTTTACTGTAAACTCTGTAAACGCCAATTTACTTCTAAACAGAACTTGACAAAACACATTGAATTACACACAGATGGAAATAACATTTATGTTAAATACTACAGGTGTCCACTCTGCTCTTATGAAACACGTCGCAAGCGTGATGTGATAAGGCATATAACTGTAGTTCATAAAAAGTCACCACGCTACCTTGGGAAAATAACGGCAAGTTTAGAAATTAGAGCAATAAAAAAGCCAATTGATCTTGTTCTAAATAAGGTGACAAAAAGAGGCCCTCAAAGGGATGAAACAAAACAGATTGGTTCAAAACAGGATGTCACCTCTAATTCTCCCAATAAAAAGTATGAAGGAGCTGATGTTGGCATTGAAGTAAAAGTAACAAAAAACTTTTCTCTGCACCGATGCAATAAATGTGGGAAAGCATTTGCCAGAAAAGCTTTTCTAGAGCATCATAAGAAAACCCACAAAGCAAATGTATCTCATTCACCTGAAGAAAGTAAAACCAAAGGCAGAAGTACAAGATCTAAAGCTGTTGTCTGGTGAGGAAAAAAAAAATGTGTTTTGTCTTATTTTTTATTTTTTTTTTTTTTAAAGCAAAACAAAACCACTGCCTTTCTTTTGCTGTTGTTGATTTATTGCCGGAAACATACTTTTCCATAGATTTTATGGCTTAGTGGCTTAAATACCGAGATAGATGTCAAATTTCTTTCTTAAATTCTGTTTTTAGAGTTTTGGAAAAGAGTTAAATTCTAAATTTGTCGTTGTAGGAAGTTGGAATAAAATATAGATTTAACTGTACTGAGTCAACTCTTTAAATTGTCTTAAGGCATCTATTGTAATCAGGCTAGTATATGTACATTTCTAAAATAGTAATTTTTTAAAAATTAACAATACTTTAATTTGGTTTGAATAACTTAACTTGTTAATTAACTTCTCTGTGACCCAGTTGAAGAAGTACTAAAGGTACTACAGTAAAAGCTGTTGACAGAAAAAGTATCTATGAATGTATTGGAATTATCATTCGTGCTTTTTTTTTTGTTTTTTTTTTTTTTTTGTTACCTATGCCCTGTCAACAAAAGGACATAGAACAGTTTTTTGGAATGTATTTTAGATGCTTAATTGCTTTGATTTAAAATCAATGAGTTAGGTGTATAAAACCACCTTTAAAATCATCAATTTATGATTTGATTCTTTTAATGCTTTTTTATATAAGCATAGGTTTGGAGACTTCTGGTCGTTTGTTTTTTAAAGTGTTCGAGCCTCACCAAGAACTTTTGTTTTAACCCTAAGTATGTGTAGAAGTCTGGCCAAGAATTTTCTAAACTTCTGCTTATATGCTACTCTGGGGATTTTTTTTATACTTGGAGGGGTTGTATTTGTAGTTTCTCAGTTTTCCATAGTCTTGGTGTTAAAGTTGGCCTATTGTTAAAAAGACCTTTTAAAAAAGGAAATTATGTATGCAGTCAGTTTTCATTTCAGAATGACCGACTGATGCCTGAAAGTTGGGGGACTGTACAAAAAATTGTAATGAAGAGAGTAGTGATACCTATGAGACTTTTTAACATCCTTATTCAGAATTACCTCTCTAGCATATTTGGTGAAAAGAAAACCAAGTACATGTGCCTTGTTCTATATTTCAATGCTGAAATGCTATTTCTGGAGGTAATTTGATTTGAGTTCAGCTTTCATAGTGAATTGCCACCCAGCTATGTTAAATTGTAATCTGGTGCATTTGTGACATTGTAACAAATCCTACCTAAGCGGGACAGAACTTCGAAAATGAACTGAGCTGGACCCTGAATTATTCTGAATTTAAGAGGAGGAGTGACTTTTACATTTTGATCAAGAATTGAACATTTATCCTTATAAATTATTTATGCTGTGTAATTTAAAACTGAATTATATGGGTAAACTCAAAGTATTAATTTATTCCCATTTCTCCTCAGATAGGTTCAAGTGATGTTCGGAAAGTTTGGAGTTCATTTGAGTGAAAAAGACTTTAGTTTGTTGTTGGAACCGCTAATATCTTGGTAATGGTACTATAAAGAGGAAATATTTTCATAAGCTGTTGTTTTCTTACTAAATTAATAACCATTCAGACTGCTTGTAGGACAGTGCCTCCTCCCAACACTGAAGTAGTTGAAATGCACATGTGCTTCTAAATTAGCAGTTATCTCTATGCAGTTGAGGTTTGACACAGTATAGAACAAACTTTCTGAAATTAAAAAATGTACAGAGGCAAGTTAATGAACAGCAGCTTTGGAAGAAGATTTTTGTTCCTCATTTAGGAAATCATCTTCAGAGAGCTCATCATGCATACTGGTCCTCCCTGGCGGTGCTTATTGATGAACAGCTCTAACTCTGTTGTGATATCCTATTTTGGAAAATGTTATGTTATATACTGTTTTAAATTTATTACAAATGAATGTATAAGAGCAAACAATGTAGTGTATATTGGCTGAATTGTACTAATTTTTAGTATTTGCCATAACATCAGTTTGTTCATATTGACTAATTTCCCAGTTCTGGGACATTTTGAATTTCACTGTACTGAAGTTGCTTCAAAGGTGTCCATTTTGTTTCCATATGTGGTTCATAGGAAAACTTTGTAAACATCTAGGAAGTTTACAAGAATATCCACATTCCTCTATTCTTTAATTAAGAAAAAAAAATATACACAAGCACTTTAATGATAGTTGCAGTTTATTTTTTCAGTTTATTTTTTGAAAGATCAACACACTAATGTTAATATGAAGGTAGTGAATATTTGCTGATGTATTATAGACAGACAATCTGTGCACAACCACTTATAATGTTAGCTTATTTCATTAAATATTAATAAAAAGGGAGGATAGTATGGGAGAAACTCAAAATGTTTTTTCTCTCAAGATCACGAATGACCACTATAGGTAGCACTTGACTTTGTATAATTTGGAAAATATTTTAGATACCTTGTTTTAACCTTTTAATCAAGATTGTAGTAGAACAGTTGCATGCCTGCCATTATGAAATTCTTGGCAGGTTTCATGTGTCAGTGATTTGGGGGTTTTTTGTTTTTGTGTTTTTTTTTTTTTTGTTGTTTGTTTTGTTTTGTTTTTTTTTTTTTTACTTTTAGAAAATATTTTGTTTAGTGATTTGTGTCAAATTGCTACAATTTGAAAGGTATTGTACATCAGAAGAAATACCATGTTTTTTATATAGGTTCACTCCCTTACTTAGGGAGGTGCCTCGTGTTCATATATACTTTTTGTATAAAATATATCTAAAAATGTTGATCACAAGATCAGGAGTAAAAATACTTTTATGGATAGAGAAATATTTGGCCCTGTTAGTGCATTGCACTAAAAATACTGTGAATGGGAACTGGACTGTAGCTGTTGCTCAAAATGTTCTATATTGAATGTACATGCTTTTGTTTGGATAAATGAACTGTATTTGATGGAAAATAAAGCAGACTGGAAATCACTTTAAAGTGTGCATAAACAAAAAGATGTCATGTTTGTAAACCTGGAATATCTATTGCTCCACAATCAGAAATTACTATGTTTGCATTTTTGTAAAGTTTTACTCTTTGATCACTGAAACTAGTTGTTTGTAATATTTGTTGTAATAAATGTTTTTTTTGTTATTAAAAGTTTGGCACTTGTGGAGTGAACACTTCTCCACGCTGATTGTTGACCCTTGCTATATTTTTAGAAAACACTGTTGATACTGGCTTTTTGTTCCTTGTAAGGGTATCTTTTCCTTAACTTAGCAGAGCTTGTTTTTATTATGCTTTTAAAACAGAAGTGAATATTAATATTGAAGGAGATAGGCTCTGCTGTTTTTTTTAATAAGAAGATAGGGTTACCTGGTTTTTCATTGCAAATAATGTTGGTGGCCATCTGATGTTACTTCTTTTTGTTGTTGGAATATAAGACAAGAACTGCCATAATCATTGTGTATTCCTTTGTAAAGGAACACATCAAGCTATTTATGTAAGTGCATTTTAACCAATGTTCCTGAATGCCTGTGGATTAAGATTAGGAAACTAAAATGCAAGCGTAGTTATAGAACTGTTCATCTCTCAGCTAATCCTTGTGGTTTCTGCTGTCTGTTCTGGGTAAGTGTGCTGCCTGCATCTTGAAATATGTGAAGGTGAAGTTACTCCTATTTCAAAGGTAAGCTTTCTTCTAAAGGATCTCCAGTTCTGCATCCCTGTAGATAAATAGAACTACCAAATTATTTTGTTCTATTTGAAGCCTTGGGTAGCATATTTCTTAAAGATGTGGCTTAGTAATTTGCAGTTGCCACAATGTTCTTTTGTTTTAATATCTTCCCATGAGGTTAAATCTAGTGTGTAGCTCCTTTGAAGCACAAGTCTCCTTTTCGTTATGACTTGTGGAATAGCTTTGCTTTCCCTTTTTCCAGTAACGAAAATAAGTAATGTGATTATGATGGATTTGTTGAATTTCGTGATTTATTTTTTTCAGTTGTTCCATGCAACCGTCTTGAATGGGAGGAAAGAAAAAATTTGAAGGGAGGAGGATTGCTAATTACTGCTTTTCATTCACACAATATGTATTTTTCAACAAATCCTGGAAAGCTGTAATAAAGCTTTGAATATAGTCAAGATCCATGTGGGCATTTACCTGCAGGGTTACGCATTAATGTGTCTGGATATGAGTTTTTCATTAAGATGCAGTCTTGCGTCAATGATAAGGTGTGTTGGTTTGGCTCGTTTTGCTTGGCCTAGCCAAAGACAAATGTAAGTTCTTTAATGGGCCTTCAGAATTAAGGCTGAGTCTTACTAAAGAGATTTTTACTCTGAATGAATGTGAGATACCTTATGGAAAACTTTGAGGATGATCTAAGCATTCTGTATGGCAGCCTGTCTGACTTTTTTCTTAAAGTGATACATAGCTTCTAATGCTAAGGCTTTGAGGAGCTAGCTTTAACTGATGTGAAATCTTGCATAAACAACAAATGAAACACTGATACCAGAGGCATCAGACTTGCTGAGGTCTAATAAAGCGTTGGCTTCTGTCTCGAACTCGCCTTTTCTTTAGTTAATCATCTCTCAGCTGAGGGTGTCTGGTCTTCCTGGTTTTATTTTTCTGTGTTTAATTTTGGAGTGTTTTCTAATTTTTTTTTTGTTGTTGTTGTTTTACTTGTCTTTTCTGTCTGGAATGTTGGATTCCAGGGCTTGAAGTCCTTGTAGTGTTTGGTCTCACTTTTATAGGAGAATTAAAACTAATTTAGATGGTTGATGGTCATAATGACCATCTGGCTTTTGATTGGCTTCTGCTGGGATAAACTTAAAGATCCTGTGTGAAGGATTTGTGTGACTGTTCAAGTGCTTGAACTACTTTGTGGGTAGATATTTCACATCATTCCCTTTTGTTCAATAGTGAAATACAACAACTGGTAGACTGATATGTTGGTTGGGGGATGAGGGGTAGAGAATAGCGGGACCTCAATAATTATATTGATGGAGAGCACCAATAGGGAACTTTACAGAGGGACCACTGGCTAGGTATAAAGGTTCATCCATCTTGAAAAGGGGAGCAGAGGGGAAGTGAATGATGTAGATGTTGTTTAGTTCCCTTTTGTAGGGAGCTTGCTTCCCACTATCCTTCAGTTGCAGTGTTAAAGTAGTAATTTCATAGACACAAGGTGGAATGTAATTTGAAAAGTTAGGATTGTTTGGGTTCATTGATCCCTTTGGGGATTGGCAAGATATTGGTAATCTTAATAAAAATGTTGTATACTTGGAACCATGTCTCCAATGAAGAAACAATCTCATTGACTTTGGAGGATTTAATGGGAAATGAAGACAGTCTGAGCCTCTGATAGCACATAGACCAAATACATTTTTCTTCAAAATAGATTAAAGTATGTACTGTTTCACTGTGTTGCCAGGAGCAATGCTGGCATGGTTGCAAAGTCTGGATGGCTGAGGGGGATGTGCTCTTGTATCTTGATATAATGTTATTCTTCAGAAGTAAATTTTATAGTGCTTTTAACTCAGTTATAGGTAGAATTGAGGTTCTTCATGTCAGTGGTCCACTGCACTGAATTTATTGTCATCTGGTAATATTGGTGGTTTTTTGCTGTGATGGTGGTGGTTTTCCTGCTGTTTCAATCTAAGGTAACTCAGCTTTACCTGTTCTGTCCTCTCAGCACAAGCCTTTCTGGGGTAGTAGCTAGTTCAGCTCTTTTGGCTGAGCTGGATTTTGTCTTTCACATTACTTACGTGCTTTGAGCTTGGGAATCAGCTCCTTTATCAGGGGCAAAACAGTCTGCTTTGATGATCTTCCCACAGCCATTGATGTTACCTAAAAGAGTTCAGTGGGTTCTGGGGCAGAATGTAGACCAAAAAGTGCAGTCAGGTTTGCAGCATATCTTGTGTGCACGTGCTCTTACATTTTTTCCCTCCCTTGATCAGATGTTTTATTCTCCAGGATGTGGTTTCACAGTTCTTGTCAATTTGTGACTTTCTGCAGCAAACAAAGGGACAGGTAAGATGTTTTTAAGTCACTGTCTTGTGGCAAGGCAGCTTGATTGCAGCTTAGATTTAAAATAGATGTGGATGTGCAAAATACTGTAATCAATTTCCTTTGTAACAGTGTATCTAAATCCGAACTGTCACACTTCAAAGAAACATAGCTACCTAAGAATGAACAAGCCTAAAATGGACACATTCCATCCATCAAATGTGTAAAGCTGTGTTTTCCATCAAAAATGCATTAGTGATATTGACAGGTAACTGGAGATCAATAATTTCTCCCAGATATAAAAGTGGGAACAGCTTTCCAAATTCATAGAGACATTTATCTGCACGGTGTCAAACTGCTGGTAGATTAGGTGGTGTCTAGATTCACAGAATTTAAGATCAGGTGTCTGTGCTGGCTCAGGGTACTTGCTCCCATTAGTATCAATGAGGAAAACAAGGTGCACACCTCTCTTGACCTCGCTCAGAACTGAACAGATTGTGACTTTGTATTTTGGTGGGTTTTTTTTTTGGTTTTTTTTTTTTTTTTTTTGTATTTTTTTCTGTGTATATGTGGGACTTGGTAATGGATAAAGGTGTAAGTGTTGACATATAAGTAAGGATGCATGAGATGATCTCTCTAGTATGCTGATGTGGAACTGTGCGTGTGTAGCATGTCAGTATAAAAATGAGAAAGTTGAGAATGTTGATGGGCTACTAGGAGAGAATTTAGATAGCAAGGCTGAGGTACATATATCCATTTCTAAATGATGGGGTTAAGTTGACTAGGGCTTTGAGGTGAAACTGTCCCACAGTTCTTTTAAATGGCTACAACAGCAGCCTTCCAGCTGGTGAAATATAGATGCTATCAGAACACAAAATATTAAAGTAGAAGAATAATACTTTGTATCAAAACAGAATCTGCCAGTTTAAATGTAAAAAGCATTGAAAAAAAGCTTTTTCTGCCCTCTTTGCGTGCAGATGTCATTCTTTCTAATAGGAGCTAACTCAGTGTTTTTCTAGTTGGCACAAACTGCCTGTTGTCTCTCCTGAGGTTTGTCAAAGACTTTTCCACTGTGACTGTAGATTTTCATTTTGCTGCAAGTCTCTTGCTTCTCTTAGAAGTCCACTAAGTGTTATTGCAGGCTCACTCCTTCTCATGTTTGTCCAGCAGCCTGGAGGCATCTCCAAGCTGACCATGCCCAGTTATCCTTAGGGAAGGAGCAGTGGAAGTCCTCTTTTCTTCGCTTCTACATGCCAAGGGCAGGGGCAGCAGTTGTTCCATGGTAACCCAGTGTCTTTTTTTTTTTTTTTTTTTTTTTTTTCACATAGCCTATACATTACCTGTGTCCTCACTGCTTGGGGATTTAACTATTGTGGAGAATCATTTGGGGACTGATAGCAAAGCGGAAACCTGCCTGTGAGGGTCATCTTCAGTGATGTGCTCTGACTACCCTCCTCTCTCCTCTTGGTGTCCAAAGCTAGATTACATCTGGTGAATCTATGACTCCATAAATGCCCTTCTGATGGAACTGCCTCACCCCTTACGATGTGTTGTTATCAAGCAAAGACAGCAGGCATACAATCTCTTGGGTCCAATCATTGAGATAAGTGTAGTGCTAGGTTGGGCTGCTCTGATTTGAGTCTGCAGGAATTTAACATACTCCTCCTACAGTCCATAATTGGGGGCATCTTGGGAACATCGTAAGCATTTTGTGTTTTTTTTTTTTCGTTTGTTTGTTTTGTTTTGTTTGGGGGGAGGGTTGTCTGTTTATTTGGGTTTGTTTTGAAAAAGTGTGGTTTTTCATAATGAGAAGGTTAACTATTTTTACCTTTGACTAAGACCCATCAGTGTGGGTCTCACTAAGGTTATTGATCCATTTAAAGTATCTTGTGTTAATGATTTCAAAGCACTGAATGCCTCAGGTAGATGCATGAACATCTTGTAAAGAGTTTTGGCTGCAGTGCCATTCCCAGAAACTGAAGCCAACCGTTTCATATTGCAGATTCCTACAAATGAGAGTGCTTGCAGCTGGTATAGTAAGTACATTGGAAACATGCTTGGAGCTACTAACAAATTAGGCATTATGAAAATGGTCTTGCACACTTAAAAGATTGAAGGGACTATTTTCTTAAATGTCAGTAGTGTCTAGAAGCTCAGGCTGGGATCAGTTCCATTTGTGCAAACCATAGTTTTTGCAGTG